CAGATTTCATAATGCCATGCACACAGTCAAGACATCCAGTGCCTGAAGCAGCAAAGAAACTCTAAAAAAAGTGAACCTCCACCATGTTTGACTGTAGAGACTGTATTTTTTTCATTTGGTGTGCTTTACCAAAAAAGCTGGAAAAATTTGGTTTCATCTGTCCGCAGCACATTCTCCCAAAAGGATTTTGGCTCAGGTATGTTTGGCAAACTCCAATCTGGCTTTAGGTTTCTGTGTCAGCAGCGGGGTCCTCCTGGGTCTCCTACCATAGCGTCCCTTTTCATTCAGATGGTGACGTATAGTGCGTGCTGACACAGTTGTACCCTGTGCCTGAAGGTCAGCTTGAATTTGTCTGGAAGTTGATCGAGGGTCTTTATCCACCATTCCAACAATCCTTTGTAGCAATCTTTGATCAATTGTTCTTTCGTCCACGGAGATTAGCTACAGTGACATGTGCATCTAGACGATGCTGCGCAAAGTGGACACCAGAACATTAAGATCTCCGGGGATGGACTTGTAACCTTGAGATAGTCCATGCTTTTCCACAAAAAACTATTATTTCTTGCAATTTGGGGAAGGTGCCAATAATTTTGTCCAGTCCATTTTTGGAGTTTTGCGTGGAATGTGTGGAATGTGTCAGATTTGGCTTTTTTTTTTCCTCCACTTTTTTGTGTCATACCAATACAAACAAAAGAAATAAACATGAGAATGCCTAAACATTTGTAATTGCAACAATTTTCTGCACAAAGTGGTGCATTATCTGACAGAAATGCAGGGGTGCCAATATTTTTGGCCATGACTGTACCTGGAAGAGCAGATTTCATGCTCTACAAGCACATTTTACTGACTATCACAATCGCATTCACAATGCGTTTGCTTTTGTCCTGTGTAAAGTAATCCATGATATGTTGCAGTGCACAGCAGCCACCATGTGGTAACTTCTTAGAAATACACTTATGACAGTACATGGACCATCTATGAAAACTGCCTCCATTCTCCATAGAAACCAAACACATTCCAACAGTTCTCACCAGGGTAACATGAGGAACAAAAAGCTACATTTAGTAGAGCGAGCGAGCGCGAGAGAGAGAGAGCGAGCGAGCGAGCGAGCGCGAGAGAGAGAGCGAGCGAGCGCGAGAGAGAGAGCGAGCGAGCGCGCGAGAGAGAGAGCGAGCGAGCGAGCGCGCGAGAGAGAGCGAGCGAGCGAGCGAGCGCGCGAGAGAGAGAGAGAGCGAGCGAGCGAGCGCGCGAGATGAGAGCGAGCGCGAGAGAGAGAGAGCGAGCGAGCGAGCGAGCGAGCGAGAGCGAGAGAGAGAGAGCGAGCGAGCGAGCGAGCGCGCGAGAGAGAGAGAGAGAGAGCGCGAGAGAGAGAGCGCGAGAGAGAGAGCGCGAGAGAGAGAGCGCGAGAGAGAGAGCGCGAGAGAGAGAGCGCGAGAGAGAGAGCGCGAGAGAGAGAGCGCGAGAGAGAGAGCGCGAGAGAGAGAGCGCGAGAGAGAGAGCGCGAGAGAGAGAGCGCGAGAGAGAGAGCGCGAGAGAGAGAGCGCGAGAGAGAGAGCGCGAGAGAGAGAGCGCGAGAGAGAGAGCGCGAGAGAGAGAGCGCGAGAGAGAGAGCGCGAGAGAGAGAGCGCGAGAGAGAGAGCGCGAGAGAGAGAGCGCGAGAGAGAGAGCGCGAGAGAGAGAGCGCGAGAGAGAGAGCGCGAGAGAGAGAGCGCGAGAGAGAGAGCGCGAGAGAGAGAGCGCGAGAGAGAGAGCGCGAGAGAGAGAGCGCGAGAGAGAGAGCGCGAGAGAGAGAGCGCGAGAGAGAGAGCGCGAGAGAGAGAGCGCGAGAGAGAGAGCGCGAGAGAGAGAGCGCGAGAGAGAGAGCGCGAGAGAGAGAGCGCGAGAGAGAGAGCGCGAGAGAGAGAGCGCGAGAGAGAGAGCGCGAGAGAGAGAGCGCGAGAGAGAGAGCGCGAGAGAGAGAGCGCGAGAGAGAGAGCGCGAGAGAGAGAGCGCGAGAGAGAGAGCGCGAGAGAGAGAGCGCGAGAGAGAGAGCGCGAGAGAGAGAGCGCGAGAGAGAGAGCGCGAGAGAGAGAGCGCGAGAGAGAGAGCGCGAGAGAGAGAGCGCGAGAGAGAGAGCGCGAGAGAGAGAGCGCGAGAGCGAGAGCGAGAGAGCGCGCGAGAGAGAGCGAGAGAGCGCGCGAGAGAGAGAGAGAGCGCGCGAGAGAGAGAGCGCGCGAGAGAGAGAG